TCCCTCTCTTTCCCCCTTTCTCCTCCCCTCCCCTCCGCTTCCCTCTCCTCCCCTCTTTCCTTCTCCTCTCCTCCTCTTTGCTTCCCTCTCCTTCCCTCTTTCTAGCCAAGATTTGTAAACAAAGCACAATTTGTCTACCTGTGGAATCTTGTTAGGAAGCGCAGTACAAGCCAGAGTTTGCTACGAACTGTGATTCAGTTAAACAAGGGTCCTTCCATCACACTTGGAGGATGATAGCAGAAGATTAAGGAAAGTTACTCCCTGAATGCAATTAATACAGTTTGGAAATAATGTGGAAGAACGGACATGAATGGCGTTATTTGAGGAAGGGACCAGGTGCTAAACTTAGACTAGCTTTGCCAAATCTTTACCATTCTGGATTAGTGTGGGATTTAGTGTCTGGGCCTAGGATCCTGAAATAGGCTTAACTTTGTGGAAGGGAAAAGTGGGATAATTCCAGGCATCCACACCAGAGGTGGGATTCAGCTGGTTCTGACCAGTTCTACAGAACCGGTAGCGGAAATTTTGAGTAGTTTGGAGAACCGGCCAATCCCACCTCTGACTGGGCCCGCCAACCCCACCTATTCTCCGCCTCCCGAGTCCTAGTTGATTGGCTGGGTCTCCTTTCGTTGCCCTGCTCAGGAGAAGGGAGCTGGAAAGCAGGTTAGTGGGGTGGGGAGGGAAGGGGGATTTTGCAGTAGCCTTCCCCTGCCACGCCCACCAAGCCACGCCCACAGAACCAGTTAGTAAAAAAAAATTTGAATCCCACCATTGGTCCACACCCTTAATAACCCACTCAGGGGAAGAAACCAGTTTAAAAGCTTAAGTTTACCCAATGATATAAGGTGACATGTTCATTTAGCATCTACATTCCTCCTCACAATGCGATTGCATTCTGTTTTGCCTACCCGTTAATCGTGGCCTGTTTTTTTTTTTTTTCCTTATGCCAGACAAAACGGCGACATCAAGTTTTTGACCAAAGGCGACAACAATGCAGTTGATGATCGAGGCTTGTACAAACAAGGACAACACTGGCTGGAGAAGAAAGACGTGGTTGGAAGAACAAGAGGGTGAGTGAGGCGCCAGCCAGCTGGTGGGCATTGTCATAACCTCAGCATAACTTCTCCTTCGCGGAGTTCCGTTCTGTCCCCTGCAGTTGGTTGGTACCTTCCTGTTTCCCCAAAGGTGCTTTTTCAAAAGGCAACTGAATTTTCTTGGGGGAGAGGGGGGGAAATTTCCTTGAAAAACATTTCACTTCTCATCCAAGAAGCTTCTGTTCAGGCTTTTGCAGCATAAATTCAGCCCCAGAAAAGTAAACACAGATGGCTGCGGCTTCATTTAAACTTCTTTATAAACACATGAAGTAAATTTTACAATACCCGTTGTAGATTTCTCTAACGTGGAGCAAACTCAAACAGAAGTAGACATATTACAGGTTCAGAGCTTCAGCACCAACTCAGGAGCTGAGAAACAGACCTCAGTTTCACTTTAGTTCAGCAGGCAAGCATTATACATAGCAGAGGAGAAGCACTTTCATTTCTTTTTTTTTAATTTTAAATAAATTATTTTTTATTTTTTAATAACAAGCATAAGCATACATAACAAAATAAACATAAACATAACACAAAAAACATAAAAATATCCTTCATAGATTTACATACAGTGCATCGATTGGTTTACCACTTTTTTTTTGTGCATCCATTTCCTAGTCACTAGTATAATTATATTACATAATAGCTCATATTATCAATCAATAATTGTATAACCTAATATCACTAAAAAAAAAACCATTTATAATTTTGTTAATTCATATTTTAACGAGATAACTATAATTTGCTTAATTTATTTTGCAATAAATCATAAGATCATACCAAATCTACCTTGATAGTGTTTTATAAAGATAATATCAAGAAAAAAAAAATTTTTTTTATGCTAAATCTGAATATTCTATCATTATGTTTTATTATCTAACCATTGATAAAAAAGATCCCAAACTTCATAAAATTGTTTATCTTCTTGTTCTCTGATTTCTGCAGTTTCATTTCTAATAGACAGACTCAGAGCTTAACATCGCTGCAGAGCTGCAGAGCTTAATATAGAGCCACGCCTAAGCTACTTTTAGTTTCAGTTTCCAAACAGTCCTCATTGGCTTGACTTAGTTGCTAGGCCTATTCATTGGCTGACCTTGTTACCATGCTCTGTTCCAGTTCATGAATATACTCTTGACCGCTTCTTCACTTCTGACTGAATGGTGGGGAATGGATGGATTTATATTCCTTGGAGTCATGTGGTCAGTAAGCACCCTGAAAATTGATTTTCAGGGGAAAAAAAAAACCCCAAGAATGTCCGGTTGCCTTTTGAAAAGCACCGTTGGGATAACCATGACCTGGGCGACTGAGAATATTCATAGACATCTTCCTCTCTGTGTGTCTTTGTTTCTGCCCATTTCCAAGATTTTGTTGGAACGTCGACTTCACCTGTCTGTCTTCCTCATGAAGTCTCTCTTCCTTTTTCATCTGGGTTGTGGATAAATTAGGCCCTCTGGTTTGGGGCTCCCCTTGCTTCCGTATAATGCTTTGTTTCTGAGTTTCATGAAAGCCCTTTTTAAAACCTGCACGTGAGGAAGGAGGCACCCCACTGTCTTATCAAAATTCTTATGTCTGTTGCTTCTTTGTTTCTCTCTATCAATACACCTCGGAAGTACTGGACTTTCTTTATTTTTCTTTACTTTTTTCTTTTAAACAAAACTTTATGAAGTAAATGATTAAAAAGATTCAACGTGGTGTAATCATCCCGACAATCCTTGTTGTCACACATTATGACATAAAATACATTCTTTAAATACATTTAGACAGCTATACATTTCTATGATACTTCCCAGTTTTACTCGTCCGTTTTGCTGTCCCTATTCTCTTTTGATTTTAGATCCTTCCTTTTTTCCCCCCACCACTGATAAAACTTATTCCATATTTTATAGTATTCTATCTCGTCCTTATCTTTCACTTCCCAAGTTAATTTGCCCATCTCGGCGCATGACCGTCTCTTTTTTTATAATGTCATTTTCATCGGGAATTGCTTTGTTTTTCCACATTTGGTTTCCACAGCTGGTCATTTGCATCCTTCTAGAGGGTCCTTGAAGGTTTGTCTGTGTCCTCAGGGTTATCAGCAAATGACCAGCGGTCTGCAGGGAATATAAATCCTTCCATTCCCCACCATCCTGGCAGAGTTGAAGAAGCTTCTTGAATGAGAAGCGAAACATCTTCAAAAGAGAAAAAAAAAGTAGAAAGCCCAGTTGCCTCCTGATAAACCATCTTCGGGACAGCCATGACCTGGATGACGGAGAATCTCTATGGACTTCTTATTATTTCAGCCAGTTTACTGCCTAAAGTGGATGGCTTTATTTTTCTGTTTCAGGTTTGTGCCCTACATCGGAATAGTCACCATCCTAATGAATGATTACCCTAAATTCAAGGTAGGACTTTCGGTTCGTTTGCTGCCTCGTGGCAACGCGCTGCATCGGCAAAACAAAAGCACCATTCAGACAATGCATGGAGGCTGGTGGGTTCAGGGTCTCTCTCTCTCTCTCTCTCCAGCTGAAACATCCCAAACCACATTCAAGCAGGCAGTTGACTCTCAATGATGGCTTGGTGAAAACGACCCCTGTTTCTGGCTGTTTTAGGTCCTGGAATTTGGTTTGGTTTGGGAGAGAGATTGGGGGTTGAGAAAGGCCAGAGAACTTTAAAAATAGAATAAAACACACTGCTCTGACCGAAGCCTCGTTCAAATCAAACAAATACAAAAGTACATATAAAAACAATCCTTTTTAATGTGGCGCTGTGAATTCTGTGCATTCACAGCCAAGAATCATTCAAAACTAATTGTCCCAGAAAAGAGCAAGCCCTTTCAAGGTTGCGAAAGGCTGCCGAGAACAAAAAACTAATTGTAGATAAATATCCAAAGCCGGAAGTTTCAAAAAACAAACCGGAGCAAGCAGGGCTTCCGTGAGGACTCTGAGTAGAAAGAACAACTTTGCTTCCTGCAAAGAAGCCAACCCCAAAGGCTGGCTTTTATCCCTTATGGGAGTGGCCATTACCTTCCAGCCTTACTCCAGAGTCGCCCGTGCTGCTTCAGCTGCTCTTTCCCTCGAGTAGTCCTGCACGCACGCACACACACTGAGTATAGGCTCCCCAGGGTCCTCTTTGTCACTGCTGCCAGACCCCACAACCTCCAAAGGCAACACCCCACTCTCCGATAGTCCTGGCCCCCATCCCTGCGTCACACGCAGGCCCATCATCCAAGTCCTCGGTCTTCGAGACCTCAGCCGTCTGAACCACAACACACACTGAACTTCAAGTAAAATAGATAAGGCACACCAAATCCTTGTAACTTTTTTTGGGAACCACCAGCCTTGCCTTGTTCAAAGTTTGCTTTTGCTAACTGAGTCCGTCCCGCCGACGAATCCTCCTTCGGTTTACCTTTGCATTTCATCTGAGCGTAACCATGCATTCAGGTTCGCAAATCAGTCATGCGCTCGCAATGGGCCGCACTCCATCCCTGTGGGGCTTATTCTTGAAATCTCGATTAAAAGATTCAAAGGAAGCCCGCTGCAGGTTGCGAACCCGCCCACCGAAGCGGGAAACCATATGCCTTAAGATTGTGCCGCTTGGGGTGTTTTATGATTTTGGCTTTCGGGACTAAAGTGGGCTTAGGATCGCTGTGAAATCCCCGCATCGCATTTTGAATTTCTGTCTTGCTCTTTTCTCCCCACCAGTACACCGTCCTTTTCCTCTTGGGCTTGTTTGTCCTGGTCCATCGAGAGTAGCCCAGCAGAGGCGAGGACCACTCCTCCAAGCAGGCCGGGATGTGAAGTTCACTTTGCTGATCCGGATTTGGGCGGAGTTGTTTTTTTTCTGTTGTGGTTGTTTCGTTTTTCTACGACTGCTGTGTCACGGGCAGGTTGATCTCAGTATTTTGAAAGAGTTTGTCACACTTTAGCATTTTTGTACCTCGGTGAATTTTTTATATTAAAAAAAAAAAAAGATTTTAAAGCCAAAACCGTTTTTTTTTTTTGTGTGTGCCTTTTTTCTAAGCTTACCGGTTCTTTTCTTCCACTGATTCCGTTGAAAAGTATGAAAATCTTGTTTCCGGTTAATAGCTGGAGATGCTCCCAGGGAAGAGCCGTCTGCTTCCAAATAAGAATAAAGTCATATTTAGGACCAGCAAATCGCAACTATAAATCCCAGTTTTAAAATCATAATCATGCCACTCCAGTTCTGAGCTGAGAGGCCGGGGACCTAAGGCTGGAGTTTTGCACAGTCAAAAATTTTGGCTTCTTAATTGTTAGCGTGAACATGCTTGAAGAAGAGCCTTGGTGGCGCAGTGGTTAGAATGCAGCATTGCAGGCTAGCTCACTGCACACTGCCATCAGTTCGATCCTGACCAGCTCAAGGTTGACTCAGCTTTCCATCCTTTCCGAAGTCGGTAAAACGAGGACCCAGATTGTTGAGGGCAAATGGCTGACTTTGTAAACCACTGTAAAGCCCTGTGAAGCGGTATGTAAGTTAAGTGCTATTGCTACGCTGGTGTTCTGACCCAAACCCTTTTCCAATAAGACAAACACGAACCAAAGGGAACAGAAACCTTTTTAATGATTCTTAGGAATCCCCCGGTTAAAAGGCTGCTGAAAACTAATTAACTTTGATAAGCGCAAGCCTCGCCAATACTGAGGAGCAAAATACCTGCCTCCGAGGCACAGCACGTCCCTTCTGCCAGCAGGTGTGGCGCAAGAGTCAATCCCTTTGGGAGGAGAGGATGGTTCAAGATTCAAGCGCCGTAGCTGTTCCCGCTGCATTTTAGCTCTGGGTGGTTATGCAACCTGCGATGCCGTGTTTTTCTTCAGCCACCTCCGCTTTTTAGCAAAGCTGCGGTAAAACACAGCCCCCGTGGGTGGCTTAATTTTATCCGATTGTGACTGCCATCGAGGAGGCTGTCAACACTTCCCTTCAGTCGCTGCTGACTCAAAGAAAGAGCCGTTCATGCACAAGAGGCATAACTGGGTCAGGCCGGGAAGTTAGCAGTTGGTGGAACCCTGGCTAATTGACTCTGCCACCCAAACGGGGATCTTCTCTTTGGGATTGGTTGAATAAGTATCCACCATCCCTGTCGTGCCCCTGTCAGAGTCTGAATCCAAGGAGGAGGATGAACAGCTCACAGGGAGTGTGGCTCCGTTGGCTGTGGAGGAGGCTGGGGAAGGGCAAAATCTGGCTGGGCAGAGCAGGGGAGAGGTAGAACAAGGGAGAAGGGAGTTCAGAGGAAGAACCAGGCCCACTTCCTCTCCACCCAAGGGCACTCGGGGAGGAACAGAGAAGGGAGCAACGTGAGTTGCATGGCTTACGGAAGAGGAGAGGGCCTTGATTCCCTTCATTAGCCACACCCGGGAATGAAAGTTTAAAAGAACTGAATGCTGACTGCTGCAGCTGCTGGGAGCAAACGTGACTTTATCCTGTGTTGTCATTGCTTATCTGTGTTCCTGGCGTCTTCCCAACCATGTTGAGCTATTGCTGTGCCTTCACGTCTGGAATTCTTGCTCCTGCCCTGCCAAACTAATTACCTCCGTTTGGTTTGATCGGACTTAAAGTTACAGTTTGGGTTGACCATGTTTTGGACTTGGATTCTCTGCAGCCAATGGCTGTTCCTGGGAGAGTTTTTCTCCAGCCAGAAGGTAACCTGGACACTGGGGACAAAGTTGGAGCTAATAAAGGGACTCCTACTGGTTATCTGACCGTGTTGCCTTTGTGCCCCTCCACGGATCATCACAATCACCTGGAAGATACCTGCCCTCCTCCAATCCTCCCAGCTGACCTAAAGACAAATCAAGAAGCTCTGCTCTCTCTCAACACTGATTTTATTCTTGTAACAACCTTGTGGAGGCAGCTTGGTTAGTTAAGAGGGCAAAGGCCGAATTGTGGTCCACATTAACATTTATTAAGCCTTTCCCTCTTCTAAATCCCAGAATACCTTCCTTTTGTGTTTCTTTTTTTTCACTCCCTTGGTTTGAATGCAGATGTTGCTAATCAACACTTTTGCAACATTCAATGGAAAAGCTGTTATCCTTTTTTATGCAGAAGGGACAGCTAATTGCTGTGAAGAGAGGTGTCGGCCCCTCAAAAACAGATGACTACTAATTCTCTTTTTTAAAAAAACAAAAAACAAAACCTTGCATTAAAACACACCTTTCCCCACCCCACATCTCTCCACACCCATTTCGCTTCTAAGATGTAGGATTTCAGAAAGAATAAAATGGGATATTTTCTGCCCGCCGCAGAGAAGTGTTCTAGGCGGATACACAAGGAGTCCTGGACTTAGGACCACAACTGAGCCAAACGTTTATGTCGTCAAGTGAGTTTTGCCCTGTTTTATGACCTATCTTGCCACAGCTGTTAAGTGAATCGCCGCAGTTGATAAGTTAGGAACACGGTCGTTAAGTGAACCTCGGCTTCCCCCTTGATTTGGCTTGTCAGGAGGTCGCAAAAGGGGACCACGTGACCTTGGGATGCTGCGACCATCGTAAGTGAACCAGCTGCCAATCGGCCGAATTTTGATCATGTAACCAAGGGGATGCTACAAAGATCGTAAGTGTGGGGAAACAGTCATAAGTCCCCTTTTTTCAGTGCTGTTGTAGCTTTGAACGCTCACTAAATGAAGTATTGTAAATCAAGGACCACTATACTATCTTGTTGCATCCTTCAGCCTCCCAAATGTTTAGATAGACGATGTGCCATAATCCAGGACTGGAAGTCTGGATTTGTTTTAATGTCAGAATTCCAGCAGTTACCCCAATTAATTAGAATTCTTGATTGGCCAAGTGTGATTGGACACACAAGGAATTTGTCTTGGTGCAAATGCTCTCAGTGTACATCAAAGATGTATTCATCAAGATTCATAAGGTACAACACTTAAGGATAGTCATAGGGTACAATAAGAATAGAATTAGAATAGAATAGAATT